GTCACACATGGCACAGTATAGAGCAGAGAGCTGAGTGTAATCTTAGACTTGAGTGAAGGCAATGGACATGCACAACCCTCTACACAGTTTCATAGGGAAACGTGCACAGCTGAGGCTGTTAATCACCTGCTGTGTGCTGGGAGAGGCGGGGCCATCACCCAGTATTCTGTGTTGTTAGCATAGACAAATGAGACATGCACATAGAAGAGGGAAGAGGGAGGAGACGGAAATCAAACCGGGTGCTTTGGATAGAGGCAAGTACACATTATATGGAAGGATATGCTTTGTTCATTTTTCATTTCAGAGCTTTAAGCTAGCCATACACCAGTAGAACTATGTTTGAATGTTTGCACACGTGTTTCAATATGCTGTATCAATATAACATCTAACATTCCCATGTTAAAAAAGGTATTCAAAATCCAACCACCTTTTGTATAACATTTATATAATTATAAAAGAATATGAGCGGCACTCCACTTAGCTCCTCTTACAGTATTTTTTAATAGTCAATAAATTGACTGTATACAGCAAATTCTTCACCCTAAAACCAACCTTCCTTGTTACATTTCACCACTCCTAGCTTGCTCATAAGGATAGGGGGAGTCCAACTTCCACAAGTGGTGAAACGCATCAAGGAAGGTTGGTTTTGGGTGAAGACATTGCTGTATGCAGTCAATTTATTGATTATTTTTTTAAAAATATTGTATGAGAAGCTAAGTGGAGTGCAGCTGAAATTCTTTCATATTTGCAATGGAGAGTGGAGATGGACTATAATGACCAGAGGCCATTCTTGATCAGTGCTATGGATTGGTAATTATATATTTATATTATAATTATTTTGTCTTCTTTATAAGTATTTTTTTTTAAGTATGTGTATTTTTTTTAACTTTTACAGTGTTTTAAATATAGTTAACCAATATATCTCATAGCAAGCATCATAGGACCCCAGGTATTACACCACTGAGCACAGAAGTAGATTTAGATATTTTATGTTTTTCAAAACGCTCTCTGTTTATGGTTTGATAATATTTTTTGCTGAAAAATGTGTTTGGCTATGGGATGTACAAAAGGATAAATAAATCGCACTGTGACTGATGGTTCGCGGCTGTTATCTATCTTCTCTCTCTATAGATAGCCTGCACCTGAGATTATTGATGGCAGACAGTTTTGTCAAACTCTATTGCAATGTCACCGACGGAATTAAATTTATGCCATCCTGGGACCCATCAACCAGGCTCCTTCCCTGTCAGAGGTGACAGCATTCTAATCCTCCCTTATTTTATTAAGGTCATTCATAATGATATAGTTTGGTGGCACCTATTATCTTCTGGACAATTCGTCTTGTCTTGGGAAATAAATTAAATAAACCTGAGTTATAATACACTACATTAATATGAAGAGTATAGGTACACAAAGTCCCTTATCGATATCAGGAGAAGTCAAAGGAATGAAAATATGACTTGCGTCCTTCCAGGACATGTCGTACAGCTGTTAATATCTTTTGATGAGTGACTTAGAGGAAAGCCATTTACCTGATTCTGTTGGGCATTTATTTGACTGTATATATTGCTTGTGGTTACTGCTGTGTTTTTTCTGTATTTTATTGGAACCAAGAAATCAACGGAATAGGAAAGAGAAAAAATGGACCCATTTATGAATCTTGTCCTAGATTTTATCTCTATGGGGTTGACACTTCACTTTGTATGTGTAACACTACCCCTCATACAGGGGTGGACTGACCATTTGGAAACTCAGGCACTGCCCGAGGGCCCGGGGTCAGTAGGGGGCCCCATGAGATGCCCCTGGTACCTTTTTCATAAGCTTTTTTGAGTTTTGGCAAAGACATGGGCCCCATGATCCCCTATTGCCCGGGGGCCCCATGAGTTGTCAGTCCGCCCCTGCCCCATAGCTACCCTGGCCCTTATCACCCCAAAATTAAGACAACACACAGTCACCAGGATCTTCAGCTCAGGTCAGCACTTGCAATGTCCCAGGACAGCTACGTACTTTTAGGCTGCCAAACACCCTCCAGCAAATTCTCCAGACCAAACACTCTGGTGACATTATATGGTTAGCTCCAGGGAAACTTAAGAATAGCCCCTCAGCTCTGCCACAGCTGGGACCTCGATAATTAGCAAACTCAAGTCGAATTTTCCCAAAGCTGCAATAGCCCATGAGGCTGTGGATCTTCTCCAGCAGAACAAGAACCTGGCTGCTCCAGTCTCCAAACTATTTTATCCCCAGCCACTTACTGGGCACACCTCTCCAGGGATTGGCTGAAGCACAATAAATATTCAAGCTGTACATTTGACTCTCCCAGCCTGTATGTTCTAGCAGCCTCCAAAAAGTCAGGGGGAAGTAGTCAAATTTCCAACCTGTGAGATCCAGAACACCGTGAAAAAAATCAATAGCTGTTCGAATGATTACAGAGGAGCCCAAAAGAACTAAATTTGCCTGACATCCTAGCATCCAATCTAAGAGAGTACTACGCATGAAAAGTTGCACTGTGTAAGGGAATGTAGTAAACTTTCACTTTGCAAGGAATATCCAATCACTGCAGGGAAAATAAAAAAGGGCATTTTTTAATTGCATATGATTGGATGATGAAAGTCTGCAGAGCTTCACCTCATTCACTAAGCTCTGGGGCAGATTCTCTTTCAAAGTGAATAATTTTATGAACAAGTCCTGAACAAGTGGAAGCCCCACCACCCACATTTGTACAAATCACACAGCTGACTGCACTAGGTGCTTCCCAACACACACTTACAGATTGACTGATGAACTCTCACCAGTTCTGTCAAGAGACAGCCTGGGATCATAAAATGATTATCAGAAATCACTATCACTGCACTGTTGTACCCTCAACTTGGAGGAAATCCAAGCAACCTAACCCTGACTGGAACCCATACAGTGCTATTACAAAACACTATCCATATAAGGCATCTTGGAAGCTACATGCTTCAGCATCTTTAGAGTGACAAGAGCATTGGCGCCATTATGCTCATAGATGTCCAAGCTTTCAAGCCTTTACTACAGAGTAAAATGGGATATTTGGATGAAAGTTACCTTGAAATATTAAAGCACTCAACACTGCAAACCTTTCCCTCACCAGATGCCTGCTGCATTTATTCTCAGAGAACAGCTATGCACCCTTCATTCTTCCTTCAATCTTTTCTGAAGAAAGAGCCTGTAAAGTAGAGTGATTCCTTAATAGTAGGGCTACAGGTGGAGCTACCAGTGGTGAGCTGAAGGCAATAAAAGGACAGGGCTTATCTAGTCTACTCCATGGTCTTGCAAAACATAATTAATTGGGTTTGCAGATTAAATGCCTTAAAATGGTATGTAGCTTTGAAAAGTGTCTCAGAATGTCACTGGCAAGCATCATGACATTGATATTCATCAAAGTAATTGAGGCCTAAATAAGCTATGATTGGTGTCCATCCCTGATTTTGAAGGACATCATTGTGTTTGTCACCATTCACTACTAACCAGCACCACCATTGTTTCTAGAAGAAAAGAGTAAGGAGCCCACATCCATCCTAGGATCTGATGACATAATAAACTGTAATAAATATACTCAGTTAGGATCAAGCTGAAGAGGGGGCTTCTGTTGCACCTTTTGTCCAACACCCCTGGTAATGGTGACAGGGAATGTGAGGACATAGAGTGGCATGAGGAACAACATTGTAGGCAACGTCAGCTGTCAGGTGTGAGTGACAGACCACAGTGGACCACCAGGCAAGGACCATATGCAGGAACATGCCCCAGAAGATGTCATATATAATCAAACGAGCAGGTTGGAGCTAACATCATCATGCAAAGTAGTAACCCGGAAATTGCTTGTTTGCTTGCTGGATTACATTTTATTGAGCAATAACTTTTAACTTCTTTGTGCTGACAGTACTCAAATATGCGGCTTGACATTGACGTCGAGAGGCCGCATATTTGTGTACCCAATGTAAACAAACGTGCCGAGAGTGCACGCCCTGCGCGCCCCTGGCACATTTACCAGCGCTTCACGGAAAGGCTTTCTGATGATGTGAACGCTGTGACAATCACATGACCTTAAACTCTGCCCCGCCTCTTGGCATCACAAACCCCTTAAAGGGCCGGAAGGCGACTGCATCATGGGGTTAAACATTTAATTGCAATACTCTAATTAATAAAAGGTACCTGATGACCCCTGGTTTGGGGTTTTAGGCTTCATGTGCATGAGCAACTCAAGTTTAGGAGCTTTTGTCATTTTTTTTTGCCAAAGCTCCTAAACTCAACTCAATAAAAGCCTATGTGTCCATGTACATGTAGGCTTTTAGCAGAGTTTAGGAGCTGCCGCATTTAGATGAGGTTAAACCTCCCTCTCCTGAACGTTCAGAATAGGAACGTTGTGACCACCAACCACGGGAAACTGCAAATCGTGACAAAACCGTGGCAAAATCACAGTACCACGATTTGCAGCGGTTTTGCATTTTCCCGCGGCCGGCGGTCAGGGTAGGCTTGTGTACATGGAGCCTAATATGGCTTTTAGCTTTGAGGCAGATATTACACCTATGAGTTCCCCCCCCGAATGAGCTTTTCCATTAAAATCAATCAAAATGCAACAAATACATGTCAATGCTGGTTTTCAATGCATTGTGTATTAAAATTCAACATATGTCATAAAGCATTCACATGTGTCTTGATGAGCATTGACAAGCATCTTAACACATATGTTGACATGGATTTTGATTTCCAAGGAAAACACATCAAGCAAACATGCAAAAAGTGTGAATCCTGCCTAAATGGAAATAGGAGCCAACTAAAAATATGTAATCTATTCCTTCTTAAGCTCTTTTCACTTTACAAAACACAATGACTGCTATTATATATTAACCCCTTAAGGAATTAGGTTGAAAGATGCTAAGATGATGGCCACTAGACTAACATCTACTGTAGAAAGTAAATAGAAAAAAAGGATTGATGGGGAAAATTAACTGTTGGGAACAGGGGTGGACTGACAACTCATGGGGCCCCGGGCAATAGGGGATCATGGGGCCCCTGTGTCCTTGCCCAAACTCAAAAAAGCCTATGAAAAAAGGTACCAGGGGCATCTCATGGGGCCCCCTACTGACCCCGGGCCCTCGGGCAGTGCCCGAGTTTCCAAATGGTCAGTCCACCGCTGGTTGGGAAATCTCTCTAAATCAACACTATTTATAATCCCTATGCTGCTAACATTAGTAAAAAGATAGGAAAGTATATTATTAGTGATGGGCTGCATGTTCGAGTTGAACATAAGTTCGACTCAAACATGGGCGGTTCGTGTGTTCATTGGCTATTCGCCTGCCACTCCCCACAATGCACTGCGCCCTCACAGTGCATTGTGATTAGCCAAGGCATTGCTCCTGAACACAAGTCACGTGCAATGCTTTGGCCAATCACAGGACGTGGTGACGTCACAAGGGAGCTGAGCTGATTCCGCCCCTTTGTGAAGTCACCACCCAATTTAAGAATTGTCATCGTGGCGCAGCTGTCAGACGACGGCAGGAGCCAGTGTCCTTTTTTCGGGTTTGCGGTGGCGGCAGGCATCGTAATTGATCTATTTGGGGGGCATTTTTTTATTTTTAATAAAGGACTTTTCAAAGACTGTCTCCTATCTTTTTTTGCACTACACTTTTTTTCTTTTTGAATGGGTAGCGGTACCATGTACCCCATACTCATTCACATGGGGGGGGGTTCTGGGGGCCCTCTTGTTACAGGGGGCTTCCAGATTCCGATAAGTCTCCCACCTGCAGACCCCCACAACCGCCGGCCACGGTTGTGGGGAAGAGGCCCCTGACCCAAAGCACCTCCCCACTCGCTCGTCCGTTCCCCCTTTACTGACATGCTGGGCTGCATGCTCAGATAAGGGTCTGGTATAGATTTTGGGGGGACCCCCCCACACACCATTTTTTTTTAAAAAATTGGCATGGGTGGTTCCCCTTAAAATCCATAAGGGCTTGGTATGGATGGGAGGGGGGACCCTATGCTGGGTTTTTTTTTTTCTGTTTTTTTTGCAATGCCGGCAATTCTTTTGACATTCAGCTGAAAGCAGGGAACCACACTCACAGCTGAATCATGAAAGAATGTTTCAGTACTAAATTACTGCATGACTTAATATAACTCATGTGGTATTTTAGTAACTGAGCGGTATCTTACCACATACTCAGATGCTGTAAGATACCACTCAGTAAATTATCCCTGTTCAAAGTTTGCAGTCGAACTTTGGGTAGGTTCAAATGTTTGACCGCGAACCAAACGGGGGTGTTCAACCCATCACTATAATATAAAATAAACAATACGGCGCTAAGTTACAAAATGACTATATAATCATACAAGCCACTCAATATTGTGTGGCCCAGATGTACCAGAAAACATGTGCACAAATATATATATCATCGGTGTGAGGTGAAAAAAACAAATATAAGGGTCTCATGCATTAAGGTGACACAGATAAAACTATGTGAATAGTGTCCTTGTGTAACAGACAAATTCCATGCAGATGTGAACTGCAATGTGCCAATCCTCTATAGCTGGGGTGCCCCCTCACCTTCCTGCCCAGGCCCCTAGGGACCAATGAGCCTTGGGTAATATGTTGAGTGTCCCTCTGGATAGAAGATGGATCCCTCCGACAGTGATGGTGGAACTCCCTCCTCTTGACTATATCATGAATGGTAGATGGTACCGGTAGTGACTCTCCAGTATATGGCTCTCCAACACGGTCACCAGTAAGGCAAGAAAGACTCATATAGTGTAAAACCTTTTTATTAGATTCCAGATAAAACGAAAAACCTACTTACACAAAACTGCAAGCAAACAGGCCTTCACACCACTCAAAGGGTGTACTGTATGTCGGGAAACGGAGCACCAAGATGGCACTCGGATGTGACATCAAGCCGTCGATTGTCAAAAGCTCCTCCCACTAGCGTATCTACGTGTTACGTCACTATAACACGTGACTTCTTCAGGATATGCTGCCCATCACTATATATTACATTTACTTGTTTTAAACTAAACTCTTTTTTTTTTTTTTTTATACATTTCTTCCATTTCTTCTGGGTTTCTGGTCTAGGTCAAAATGATCTCATATGGCCCAGGAGTCTTCATGGGCATTTTTTTTCTTTCATCTGGAGGAGAGGCTTTCTCAGCTAATCACAGCCTCCTGTCTGCATGGCTGGGCTAAAGGTAGATGGATACCAGGAAGTAAATGCTACATGAATCATCTGCCCTTGCTCAAGATGGTCACTGCTACAAATGCAAAGTTGTGTTTTTCAAAGTGATTTCTCAACAAAATAAAGTGAAGAGACAATGGATAGTTACACAGTGAGTCTGATTGAAAAAAGATCAATGGAAGTTCAACCAATGGAAGAGAACAAAAATTATACAACCCTATATATGCAATCTTATAACCACAGTTGATGCAGAAGAATGCAAAAAAAAACCCCAATAAAGCATAATCCAATTTGCTCCAGTAGGGGAAAAAAATCCTTCCACATCCCCCAAGAGGCAATCAGATATTACCGATAAATATTAGTATCCTTTTATATTAATGGATGGATGGGTGAGTTTGCTTTGAATATTACCACTCGCCTACTGGGCATTTTCACCCCCCGCTTTCAGTGTTGTCACATTCTGAATGACAATTGCACGCTCATACAACACTGTACCCAAACACATTTTTTATCATTTTTTTTGAGACAAATAGAGCTTTCTTTTGATGGTATTTAAACACCACTGGGGTTTTTATTTTTTCTAAACAAACAAAAAAAAGACTGAAAAATTAGGAAAAAAAAAAAGGTTTTGTTATATAAAGTTTTATAAATAAAGGCCAATGGATGCCCTCACCATAACTAGTCCCGGAACCGTCCGCTGTAGCCAGTCTTTAGGCCATAGAGCTTAGATGCCAATGGTTAAAAATTAATGAAGTCAGGCATTATTCAGTTTGCGGTGGTCAGGATACAATATAGTTCATCTGCTATTAACTTCACCCCTACAAGCATGGAAGATCAGTGTTTGCGGGGGTATCTGTACAGAGGACTTCAATTTCAGTCTAACCCCTCATGCACACCTTTGACCGATTTTACATTCGCGCTGTTTTTGGCCTTTAATTTTTTTTTCTACAGCCAGTAAACCCCCCAGCATGTTCTCCTTTGCGTCCATGCACACATAGACTGTAATTGTAATCAAAATCGTTTATTGGCTGGGGAAACAACCCACCAGAGCTTAGTGTTTTCTAGAGATTTTTTAAACGCTCTAAACCGCTGAAAAAGCGTGGCAAAGCGCGCTAAAACCCCACAAACCAGAGTTTTTGTGATGTTTTTTTATCAAAGAAAAATACGTGGGAAAACACCGCTAAAACGTGGCAAAACGCACGCTGAAAAACACTAATGTGAAAAAAGCTAAAAAAAAAGCAGAAAAAACTTCACGTTTTTAACGTGAACTTCTTTACACAGCACACGTTTACCAACGTTATCAAAATGTCAAGTGTGCATGAGACTAACACAGCAGCTGCCAGTACTGGATAGAGCAAAGCTATTAATTTCAATCGCTTTCTCTTTCCTATGAGGGGATTTTCCCATAATTCGCCTTTCTGATGAGAAATTGAGATGGAATTCTCTAACAAAGACACATTACAGATTCGGAAAACCATTTATAGTAAAGGTGGGGAAAGAAATTGGAAATTCTGGCAATGTTGTGTTACTAAATGCCATTTCCATCCACAAACAATTTTCATTTCTCCCGTCTACACCTCTCTATGGACAATGGGCAGCTGCCTCACAATCAAGTCATATTGTTGGTGGATAATCTTTACACGTGTTGTTAAATCTGCAATCAGGCAGAGAAGGTGGATTCACTATATCTGATTTGCCTCCGAGGGGGGGGTTAAAACACAAGTGGGCCTATCAGCGCTGATGATATATGGTCGTGTCATCATATAAATCGAGGCCCATGGCTACCCTTCGCAGTGCCATGAGAGAGCTGCTGGAGCGAGATCTACAGGTCTATTCAGGCCAAATAGTGCCATAAACACAGCACTTGGTAGATAAGGTTGTCAGTTTTTTCTTCGCTCTGCCCTACGTTTAATAAGAAAACAGGATTTTTTCCTGCTGGAGAGTAGTTAGAAACGACACAATACCATAAGCGACAGCTCTGTATACACAGCTGGTATCCATTACTTTGTATAAAAAACACCCTGAGGCGCTACATTTCTAGTAGACACACGTGTTTGTGCTATTGTCTGGATGCCAGGCTAAGATAGATGAGGCTGTACCATAAAGAGAATCCTCCAGTCTAAACACACAGCACGTCTACTAGTACAAGTATACTGGATATATATATATATATATATATATATATATATATATATATATAGTAAAGTGCAAGGCCGAAATTGTTGGCACCCACCTGATATTTTTTCCTGAAAATCAAGTATTTTCACTCACCATAAAAGAAAGGTAATGCATTAACTCATAGTTTTGCTACTACACATGTTTATACCTCCCTTTGTGTAGTATTGGAACAAAACATAAAACAGGAGCAATAAAAGCAAATATGACATAATGTCCACAGCAATCCTCCCAAAAATGGAGGGACAAAAGTAATGGCACACCGTAACTTACAATTTGGTTGATAAATAAGAATGTTGACAAACATAACTGAAATGCACGCTTCCTATAACTCCACCTGGGGCAAGTAAGCATTCTGTGGGGCAACATAGAATCACACTGCATTTTGGACCACTCATCCTTTGCAAACTAGCTCCAGAGCCTCTCTTAACCTTGGAAAACACTTTGCTTTGTGTTGTCTTCTTGGCCACAGCCAAATTTAAGCGATGGACTCTCCACAGAAAGAGTTTCAATGACGAGAACTTAGATCTGGAGGACCTGAGCACCAATATTGCTGCCAAAATATCGACACTCTCCAGCCTTACAAGTTGCCATCTCCAATTCTAGATTTGCTTTTGTCCACAGTATGCAAATTATCAAGAAGGTCTTGCAACCCATGCACTGTAGTCTAGATCTCCAGAACGTGGAACGGATGAGGACCCAGCTTGATCTGACACAGGCCCTACAGTGCGCCGCAGAAAAATCCGGTTGGTGGATAAGCAGCCTTCAGACTGTTCAAGAATGCCATTTTGCACAGCAGTCCAAGCACCTCAGGGCGCATCAGTGTCAGCGCAAAACAACCCGACGACAGTAATGACATAAACGCTATGGCAGGAACCCAGAGACCCCCACGCTGCCACATAAGACATATTAAAAAGCATAGACTAACTGTGTTATTGCCAAAATGTACTCTGTAGTAAGAAGCGCTCATTCCGTTCTCGGTAA